AAAAAAAATGTATTTAAAATTACAAATCAAAGCAAATGGCATTTTTTTTTTTTTTTTTTTACCAATGATTAGAATCAGTGCTGAATCTAATAGGAATGATGCTGGAGTTCAATACAACCCGGTTACATCAGAAAATAAGGAAATGGACAGATGTTCATGGAATTAGGTTAACAGGTCCTGCAACTTCTTTGAATCTGGATCATTTCTGTGCATTTTTGATTTGTACTTACTGAAGCTAAGAGCAGATAACTCTTCAATATTGCATGGGTTCCATCTGAACGGGTAGTGCTCTGGAAGTAGAAGTAGTGTCCTACTGTAGCTATTTACCCTATTGTAGCTACCTATCTTACTTGTAAAGCACCTTAGTATTGTTGATACCGTTACATGCTGTTGACAATAAGATATAAAGGCTCAAGACGAGTTGGAAGACTCTTCTTCCATGAAAAGGTTGATTTTTGACACAGAATCCACCTGCTTCTCTCAAACTCCTGAGGACTTTCAGGTGGAGCAGAGATTAATTGTATGTCTCTTAACTGGGAGTATCATTCTGCGGAATAGAAATCCTTCTACCTCCAAAACCTTGATGTCATATAGTCGGACAGACACGTCTGCAACCTTGGGGAAGAGGAGGAAGAAGACTGAATCATCAGCAAGTTGTGGGTAGGGGTATGAGAAGAGAGCCCAGTGCTGGGTACTGAGACAGAGGGACAGAACAAGTCAGTTATTATCTCTAGATCAAAACCATGCTTGACATTTACATTTTTAATTTACATTTACAGCTTTTAATGTAAAGATGTCCCAATTCTGCTTTTTCTGTTACAGAAAAGAATTCAAAGTATCAGTGGCCTGAAGGACCTATCTTCCAGAGACAAAGGAGAGAACCAGTACAAACAATACAAACTTCATGCACACGCCCAAAATAAAGTGAGGCTCCTACAGAATTTGCTAAACTGTGAACGGAGAAGCACAAAGAAGCTGTTGGCTGGGGAATAAGCCTGACTTAAAGAAGCAATAAAGTGTGTGACTTTAGTATTACAGGTCAAGAAACAAAGGCAGACAGATGGGAAACAACTTATGCACGGTCACACAGCAAAGCACTGTCAGAGAGGGACTGCAGCTCTGGGTTTCAACACACCTACCTACCTACCTTTGCTGCTTCCGACTAAACTGCCTCGTGCTGCAGAGGTAGAACAATGATAAACTGGTGCCTTTGTGCAAATGTTGAAGGCACATGGACCCTGCCACAGACATAAATGATTCTGCCACTGCTGCAGGAAGTGTGCGCTTCATGTCCCTGAGTATCATTAACACTTTTTATCAATATTATGAAGTTCTGCAACAAAAATAATAGGATTTGTCAGGGGCTGTTATGAACCGCCCCTGCTGGATAAATACATAATACATGATGGCAAAGGTCTGATGAGACTTTAATCAATTGCCTTTCCGAGTCAAATAAATGTCACATTAGACGTAAGCCATGTTGCATTCTGTGGGGGCCTCTGCTCCCCTTGTCTCACGGGCCTGACACTGCCATGGGGAGCTATGCAAGCGCATAGACTCCTACTTATTTGTAGCAAATATATCAGAGCAAAACTGTAACAGCATGTTGTAAATTACAGATTTGGGACACCTTATAATGAAAGGCAAAGGGAAAAGGAAAGAAATATGGGGACACCATAGGCATGATAGGTCAGCTCAAATACATCTCCTTGGTAGCCGGCATTGTCATACCACCTTTTGCAGTCACTGCAGCATATCTCATGTTTCTGCCCACAGGGCAGGGGAGAAGGAGGTGTGCCGTTTCTTTCTGCACTGCTAAAGTAGTGAGTCAACTTTAGATGTTCAAGTCACATATTTTAGGTTTAGTATCAGGAAACGAAAGCTCTTTGATTGTTTCAGCATGCAACTGAAAAAATTACAAATGTCCATTTGTACTTTAGCATCCCTTTGAAGAAATTCCAACAATCAAAACACCACTTGAACATAAATTTGCAGGTTTAATTCCTCTCCCAAATATGAAAGAGCTATGCAGTTTTTGGTTTTGATTTGTTGTTTTTTTTTTTTAAATTCCAGGCAGCACTTTAACAGTCATCTACTTTCCTCTCTGAACGGGTAAGAGACATGAATTTAAATTGCAAAATGGAGACCTAAAGTAACACAAAGTCTAGGCATATTTGGACATGGAGTTCTAAACCGAAATTTAAAAGCCCTCATTATTTTTGGCATTCACTAAATAGCTCCAGCTTGGACGTCCCAAAACAGTGACTTAAAATGCTGGCGGACATTTGGAAAACTTTGGTCTGTCTTAACTATAGTAAATATTATGAAGCAGTAGTGCTGTATTTCCCTTTATATCGCAACAAGAAGCATCATTGTTTTAATACCACTACATTTCACTGCCAATATGTATGAAGGAATCCCAACAAAACACGACTTTTTGTTCCAAATACACAAAACCGTCACACGTCAGAACCTGGCAAAATTAAAACCCAAATGATAACAAACTCTCCCAAAGGTTCCACCCCCTATCCCCCAAAAAAAGGAAAAAGCAAAACTTAAAACAATGAAAATTTTAATTCTTCCTGTTCTAGGTCTACTAAACACAATTATCTGGAACAATACAGTTTTTACTTCAATTAAATGGTCACCAAATTGATGAACTCCATAGCAGCAGCCAAACTCAAGTGAATGAGACCAGGTGAAAAGAGAATCCTACATAACTTCTTCCAACAAAACCGCTATCAGATTTCTATTCCTGATACTGTTAAATATCAAAGAGAATACAGCTTATTTAGTCTACCCAGATAAGAAGAGCAGGTCAGTATTAGGCAGGACAGCACACAGGACTGAGAAAGGGTCCCATGCTACAAGGTCGGATTTCAGCAAGGACAGGTTGAAATACTAGTTGACTGGGTTTTATACTTGTTTTATGCTTGCATAGCATAGAATATTATATGCTTTATTCTGAATCCCAGCATAATAGAATAATGCCCATCACAACACATATATCCTCAAATATAACATCAATCCTCCACATTGCCCCCTAGAAATGCACATATAAATTCCAGATCAATCAATCTATCACACAATGTCACTGAACTAAGCCCGAGTCCCATCAGCTGACACTGCATTAAAATCCTGGACTGATGCATCAGTATAAAAACTCAGTGCTGAGACCTGTGGCCATGAGGAGCAACAGAGAACTTCACAAGGGTTCTGGGCTGAATTGGATGGAACTTGAACAAAATGCACAACTCGTATCAATGAAAATTTTAAAATGTTTGGTATAAATACTTACACAAGAGACAGGAAAGGTTCCTTCAGAGGAAGGCCACAAACTGATGGTGAGTAATCTGAGAAGAATAGAGAGAAAGAAAAAAGGAAATTAAGTGACCAGAAACACACTAAACCATACCAATACACACCAGGGATCTAGGAGACTCACAAATGGTTGCAGTTCCCACAGGGGGGAGAGAACAAAAAAATGTAAATTCACAAACTGCAAAAGTCTTGGAAGTTTTGAAATTACCTGACCCCAAAACTATGTAGATAAGAAAACTGGTAATGGCTGTGCAGCCTTTCAGTCCTGGGATAATTCCAAGCCAGCAGAGACTAAATATCCTCCGATGGCTGCTCAACAGTCCCCGTGAAATAGGTTTGTGGCTCATATGGACATATGCTCTTATCACAAAAACGCTGCCATATTTGAACGGCATCCTTCTTAACAGTCATGCCAGATGATAAAGGCCTCTGAAACAGAACTCACCTTCTTGATCCTGACCTTCACAGAAGAGGGGTTAGGCAAATTATTAGGGCTGAAGAAGCTTACATGATGGCTGATAGCTGCACAGAAAAATTGTGTTGTCTTAGTTCCTTCTGTCGACACGGTGTTTTTTAAGACGTGACAGATTTGTCACCCTGAGATCCCTAAGAAAAAAAATGGCCGCACGAAACTGGAATGGCTGAAGGACAGCAAACTTTCAGTAGACTGCAGTTCTAGTTTCCAAAATCTACTATGGATTATCTAAGATTTACTGACAATACATTTTCCAAAACATATTAACCTGGGATGAAGTAATAGAGAAAATGAATCAAAGCCTGATGCTCTGAATTGAACAAACAAGATACACCCCTGTTGGATAAAAAAACATCAAAGGGAGATGCCCCCCAAATGTTCAAATCTAAAAATCAGTTTTGTCCTCCCTTCCCTTTAGCAAGCTGAAAGAAATTCAGGTAGTCAGACAGATAGTGCTCTCCAGAAGTTTGCTACCAGGAGCGCAGTGGACAAAGCCCATGGGATTCCTGTGGTGTACTCCAGTACTTCAGTCAAGACATGGCCCTCACCTACCGTTTCCTGTCCAGTTGCAGGGACAAATTAGATCTGTCATGCCTCAAAGCAATTAAAAATATTCAGAGAAATACAGACCTCAGTTGAGATAGAGAAGGAAAAGCGAGGAGCTGTCACAGGAGAGAAAGAGGGAAGGCAGCAGAAAATCCGTTCAGATTTGTAGCTATTATTTGTGGGAATTATGGGCCTGGTAGAGAAGAGCACGAGAGAAAGCATATCTAGTGGTTGGTCATCTGCAAGGGAGGTGGAAGAAATTCAGCAAAGAGCAGAAAGAATCATAAAAACTGCAGGGCAGCAAATAAGATGCTTATAGCATCCTTTGGATAGGCCACCCAGAGAGGCCCTGTTTAACATCACATTTCTCTTTAAAGAAGCTGACTGCTTCCACATGTAAGGAAAATTTGAATGAGACAGAAGACAGGATGGATTCTGCCCAGACTGAAAAGCTGAAGTGCCAGAAGATGAAAGGAAGGGCAAGATAAGGCTAGTGGAGAGCAGGTTGCTATTTATCTTACTTTCAAGAATCCATTCCTCTGATGAACTTCAACAGGGAGGTTCTGGTGGGAAAAAACTCCTTTGCTAAGCATGTATCCTTTATTTTCCTTCTACATTGCTCCTGAAGATTTAACCATGATGCCCACAGACACATCTGCAATAGACTATAAGACTCTCAGCAGATGGTAGTTGGGAAGCATTTCTTTCAGTGTTTGGGGCAGATGGGATAGTGAGCTGCACACCGTGGAAGAAACTGAGACCAAGAGGTCTGAGCCAAAGAATGTCTTGGAGCCCAGGAGTTAAAAAAAACAAAACAAAACAACAAAAAAAAAAAAAAAAAAAAAAAAAAAAGTGGGAGGCATCCAGCACGGGAAAAAAACACAGAATGGAAAATCTTAGGCCGAGTGGTTAGAGTTTGGCTCCATTATAAGCAACATAAAACAAGTTCTCTTAAGGGAAAGCGTCAAGCAACTTTGATGACATGGATGCCAAAGAATTCTACAAATTATGACCTGAGAGTCTGGAGGTGCTGAGTAATGACTTACACCAACATGACCGTTGAATTTGCTGTAAGAAGTGAACAAGATTGTCATACCTAATTAGAACCGTAGGGTAATTTTAGGCAGGCACGATATACTAGAAGCTGCAAACTAAAATCTGACAAAACACCAGAACTGAAACGCCATCATTTTTTAAATGATCACAACCGGTCTGGACACTTGATTACCAGTTTTGTTCAAAAGAAAATACACGGAAACAAACCTTTCCATGTAAAGGATTGGAAAAACAAGATGTGTCTGAGGAAACTATGATTCATTCCAGGTTAGATAACTGCAGAACACGTATGTGGGAGAGAAGTGGGCCAAATCCTGTGCTCACTGCCCTGTACAATCATGCTGACTTAATTGAAACCATGAGCAGAACCTGAACCATTAAAACGCTGGGGTGAAACTTTTCATCATATGGTACTGTTTGTCACTAGAGACATATTTAACCTAATTACATTAGATTAACACAGTAGATTTCTTTAAGATACACTATTATATAATAGTATAAAAAAATGAAGTCTAAGAAAGCTGACTCTTTTCCCCAGGTCTCCATGTTATAAGCAGAATAATTACAGGTATTACTACACCCAGTATGACTCTATTTGGTGGGGTGGACAAAGGGAATCCACTGATCTTTTTTCATATTGAATTCCTAGTGTTAATTAATCATTATTACTTGGAAGCTGTTTTGGCCATTGGACAGAATAGCCAGGGGCTAATCTTAAACCTACCCTTGCTTCACTGCAGTCAGATTCTGCCCACTTTCTCTGTATTTGCTATGTGAATAAATTCCATTGAAATCACAAAGGCTAAGAGACAAGCAAGGCCTAAATGTTAAGGATATTTAGGAATCTGTTCCCCCCGCCCCCACCTCCCCTTGAGTTCAGTGAGAATAAGGTTCCTAAACACTGAAGAATTTCTATTTATGGGGAGCTAAAGATGATGAAATCCAGCCATGAGAGTTACATTATATAAGCAGGTAATCGATTTATGAGGCTAACTACAATTTTCAAAAGTGATTTATGCATTTATGGCAAAGTCCATTGGAAATCAGTGAAATTTTGGCTGTAAACCACCTGGGGATTTGAGAATATTTCACCTTTGTTAGCTTAAGCACTTCTTACTTTCAACAAAATTAACATCTTAAGTGCCAAAGTAATTTTTGCAATTGGCATTCAGCTGCTTCTTACAATTTCTTCACTAAATGGCTTGAGTTAACATGCTTGAAGTGCCTTTTTCTTAGAAGTAAATTGGGACAGCAATTCTCCTTCGCTTCTGCAAAGCGATTTAGGATCTCTCTGATGTAACGCACTACCAAAGTGAGAAACGTTATTCCTTCAGCCCCTAGGCTGGCAAGAAGCAGGCAAATTCTGAACTGCTTTAAGCAGGGAGGACTGGCAATGGATTCAGATAATCCTAAAGTGACTGCTCTAGCCTCAAAGGATTTCCACCCTTTACCGATACGGAAACAGTGAAGGGCACAGCTTTATCATATGTAATCTACTCAGTGAATTGGATCTGAGATGCTGAGTCTTGTCACCCCTCTCCTCCTGGATGCACTACACCTGCTCAGTATCTAAACTAGAATTTAATCCCAGTAGAAGATAAAGAAAATAATTTACTAGAGAATTCCTCAGCTCAGAGGGGGCCAAACAGGGCCAGTGCCATGATGGGGGGAAGACAGTGAAGAGGAGACTCAGCTGAAATTCAGCAGAACCCTATAAATTATCTGAGGGGCCAAAGAGCCTGCACTGCATCTCTGACACAGCAGAGACAGATTACGGTAAAATTAAATTGAGGATTTTAGTGGATATAATTGTTGGTTTTATATATTAATGAACAACAATAATACGTGATTCTAAACTGAATACCAGGTTTGACATTTAATCTGAGCGCTCATACTATCCATAAATGTTCATAAACGTCACAAGACCCCTACCCTTTGATTGAATTACAATCTAGTATGCAATTTAGGAAACACGGATTAATCTACATAGATTTATATTTCTGCAGGTTACATTGTTATTTGTTGATTTATACCCTTTTCCCTTAAGTGTCCTTTCCATTGAGAATCAAGGAAAATACATGCAAATCTTTAACAGGAGAGCAGCTCAAAATCCAGTGACTAGCAACAGATGGAAACTTGGTTCAGTGAAACCTATGCTAATTATCATTTGCTTTTTGAAGTCACCTCTGCTAATGGCCAACAAAATCTTAGTCCCTGTGATATTTCCTATTACCTTCACATTAACTCTTACTACAGCCAGCAATCACCTAACACGCTTCTTGTCGATGCTCTGCAATTAAACTGCCTTTCAATCAGTTTGCTGAGGGATCCAGAGATGGAAACTGCTTTAATATTAGGAGTTAATTACAAGAATGCAGAGGAAGACAGTCAAATGTTATGTTAGCATACCAGAAATATGACAACGCCTTAGCCACAGATGTCACATGCAAAGTAAGCAGCCACATCAGGAAAAGCAACATGGCAACGGAGAGAGGAAAATGACCTCCAAGTTCTCATTTTCCTTTTTTTTTTTTTTTTTTTTTTTTTTTTTTTTTTTTTTTTTTTTTTTTTACTGGGGTCATGCTACTTGACGTGACGACCTCCTTTAGCAGGTAAAATTTCTAGAATTTCACTGTCACCTGTATTAACAGGCTTCATTGTGCAATGGTGTCTAATTGGGGACTGATAATGACACCTACTCAGTGTGTCACAGCATGGGAATTGTCCAAAAGGTTGATGACACAACAGCGCTTCTGGAGATCCTGACTTCTGTGGAGGCACAATCTGGCTCCCTTTGAAAACAACCAAGTCTTCTCAAAGGGTTAATAGGGCAGGTTCCTCTTTTTCCTCTGCACCTTTATCTCTGTGTGCCTCCAAGAGGAACAGCTCCACAGCCCGCCCTTGTCGTCGTGGATTCATTCATTCTTACAGGACCGAAGACAAGGGCTGGCTGCT